ATAGAAAGATCCAAAGATCAGCATTTATCTGAAATAAAAAGCTTTTGTAACATTATACACTATACCATTCAAAAGCTCTTTTTAAAATTTATATTATAGAAATTATTACTTTCATTTAGCAAGGATGTTTTAAATTGATCAAAAGTGATGATAAAGACATTTGTAATGTTACAAAAGATTTCTATTTCAGATAAATGCTGTTCTTCTGAACTTTCAATTCATCAAAGAAACCTAAAATAATTTTGCTCAGCTGTTTTCAATATAATAATAATAATAAATGAGTTTGGAGCATCAAATCAGCATATTAGAAGGATTTCTGAAGGATCATGTGACTGGAGTAATGATGCAAAAAATTTAGCTTTGAAATCACAGGAATAAATAACATGTTAAAATATATTAAAATAGAAAACAGTTATTTTAAATAGTACAAATATTTCAAAATGTTACTGATTTTGCTGTACTTTGGATCAAATAAATGCAGGCTTGGTGAGCAGAAGAGAATTTTTCAAAAAACATTAAAAGTCTTCCTGTTCAAAAACTTTTGACTGGTAGTGTATATTGACCAAAATAGTTGTGCTTACGATTTTGCCATAATTAAGCAGTCCTATATTGATTGCAATATTGCCAATATGATGTTTTCCCCTTGGGGTCTTCGTCCCTGCTCCTGAGTGTTTTTCTGAATGAGTGTAGAGGTTCTTGTGAGACTCTGTCTCACTGTGTTGTGCGTTACTTGTAGAAAGGACGCGAGAAGAGAGCGAGATCTCAGATCAGCACCAGAGCCAAAGAAATGTGAGGAGCCTCCCAGTCCTGTGAGTGACAGAGCTAACACTCTCTGGGTGTCATCCCATGATCCCCGCTCCCTCTACTTTTACTTCTGGCTTTCTTTGCTCTCCAATCCTTTAATGAAAGTTTTCTCTAGTGCCTTTTTTAGGTGCTTCATTCGATGTAATGGAAATTACAATGTTGGTCACAGACTGTAATTGTGGGCCTCTTTTGAAAGATATGTGACTTGAAAAATGTAAATATTTATTTGAGTCTAGACACATAATTTTGATCCTAGCATTGAATTATGGCTGTAGTATAGAACGGAAAAGAGAATACTGACGCAAACCTCTCCAGTACATGCTTGTATGTGAAAACATTACATTTGACACCCTCTTCCAAGCTGTTTGTGCAATGGCACATCAATCAGCCTCATCTTATAAAGATAATTCAATTATAGATGCAAATAATTTTCCGTGCTTAATTAGAATTTTCTGAATGTGTGTGGCATATGTAAATGAATGAAGTCCTCAGTATCAGTTGTACAGGAATTTCCTGTGGTCTGTTGCATCATTTGCAGCAGCTTCTGAAAAAAAAAAAATTTAATAGAGATGCACTCAAGTCTGTTTGCACACTGGAGTCCATCTGGATTTTCATCGTGTCAGAACTTTTCAAACAAACGCATAGAGATGGAACTCCATTTGGAAGGGAAATTAACCAAATGAATGGACCAGATGGAGCAGACCTTAAAATACACCAGGTGTTAAAGGGCTAGTATTTCAGCCCAGTTAACTGGTGAACAGTGTCTTCTTGAGGACATTTAGACTGTCTAACCTCCTGGTAGTCCTGGATTTATAGACATGGACATGGAATAACAAGTTAGAGGTTAAAATTTGTAGATTAAGAGGCGCTGTTTACCCCTGGTATTAAGATGTGTTTTGGTCGACACAAGTAGACAAGGGAGACAACATTTCCATTTACATCTGCAAACAGGACTATAGATATTCAGCGATCTATAGAGCAGACCTAATATTTTATTTATCTTACACTTCAGTATCTAATATGTGACCCTGGACCACAAAACCAGTCTTAAGTCGCTGGGGTATATTTGTAGCAATAGCCAAAAATACATTGTATGGGTCAAAATTATTGATTTTTATTTTATGCCAAAAATCATTAGGATATTCAGTAAAGATCATGTTCCATGAAGATATTTTGTAAATTTCCTATTGTAAATATATTAAAACTTAATTTATGATTAGTAATATGCATTGCTAAGAACTTCATTTGGGCACATTTAAAGGCGATTTTCTCGATATTTAGATTTTTTTGCACCCTCAGATTCCAGATTTTCAAATAGTTGTATCTCAGCCAAATATTGTCATATCCTAACAAACCATACATCAATGGAAAGCTTATTTGTTCAGCTTTCATATGATGTATACATCTCAATTTTGAAAAATTGACACTTAAGACTGGTTTTGTGGTCCAGGGTCACATATATTCTTTTTAAAAGGTATGTTTTAGGGCCTTCCTGACTGTCCTCCAAAAAGTGGGTTTTTTTTTCTTCTTCTTTTTATTCCCTCTCTGAAATGTTTCTTTTTTCTTTGAGGCAACACATGACAAAAAAACTGCATAACCTCATTCTAATTGTGCTATTTACCTATAAATCAACATAATGTAAGAGACATTCATGTTATAAGTGTTAGATTTTTGCCTGTTTACTTACCTTATTTGTAATGTTTTTTTGTTTATCAGAAGTCTCGCAGAAAATAGTTGACTTCCACTTCTAAAAACAATTAGGTGATTAGTGGCACCTGGTTGGGAAATTGCTAACTGTTAGCTAACAAGCGTTTCCCCCCCCCTCATATGTTGCCTCAGACTTTTATGTATAAAAATATGTATTATATATTTTATTTATATTTTTTTGGACCCACTTTATGTTAAGTGTTTTTAATTACTGTAACTACTGTGTAACTGCATTTAAATCAATTATTTGATACAACACACTTACTTATTTACATGTTTTTACATTATACTGATATTTAAAAATACCTGCAACTACATCTGTATTTAATTTCTGTAGTTGCATCTATAATTACACTGTTGACCCTACACCTTAAACCTACCTATACCACCAAATCTGTTCCTAACCTTACCCCATACCCACCTCAATAGCAGCAGAAGTGATTTGCATTACAACATGAACACAATAAGTACATTGTACCAAACAATTCATTATTATTGATGCAAGTGCATAGTAGTTAAAGACACCTAATGTAAAGTTGGACCCATGTTTTCCCCCAAAGGAATTGCTCTGAAAGGCACTAAAACTAAAAATTCATTTTGTAGAAAAGAAAAATTCCACATGGCTTTTGTGTCCTTGGTAAATGTTCAGAGGGTTTAAATGCTGATTACTTCCAGTTACACTGGTTGCACCAATTATAGGCAAAAACCATCACTAACATAAGTTTGATTCCTAAAAGCTCATTTTCTCACATCCGCTAACCAAAGTAAGAGCTGAGAACCGTAAAGCTCATTTGAACCTCAAATACCAGCACTGTTTTGGTTACGTCTCACTATCCCCTTTTTGTTTTAACAGAAATTCAGCTCAGCCAGTAAATACGCGGCCTTGCTGATGGACGGGGAGCAGGGAGACGAAGAGGAGGGCGGAGATTAGGAGGTGGATGGACTGCACAGATGACAGTCTAAATCGAATTACAAATTAAACCTACAGCTTTTGTTTCATGCAGCACTGAAGGACCCAGATGAGCCCTTTGAGAGCAAAAACCCATTTTTAGAGCAACCCCTTCCTCTTCAAGACTGAACCGAAAACCTAGTGAGAAAACACAGGACTCATTTTAAAGTAAAAAAAGAGTATGGAAGGATGAATGTTTATGACTTAATCAATTTTTTGGGAGGGGGTTACAATACACATAAAAGGGATCCTGCTCTAGCATGCATCATAAGTTGAGTGCATTTCTCATTAGCTTGCACGATGAGTGAGAATAAAAACACCCCTGAAAGTGTAGAATCAGGGGAAAAGTGCCACAAGATGAATGTTTTCCCTGAACTTTAGAGCTTCCTGAGCTTTCTGAAAGAACGTTTACGGCAGTTGCTTTACCGAGAGCTCTGGTCAAGTAAAGGGGTCCGTGACCTGCATTGTTCACCCATTGGTTATAAATCTCACAACCTTGGTTTTATGTCTTAAACTGGCATTGGCCAACAGGTCTGATGATTTGTATTCAGGGATAAAAGCCGCTGAATAACGGCCAGCAACGGATCAGAACCTGTTAGTTTCGGTTTGATATTTCTCTGCGCTGCTTTAAGCAGGAGTCTCCCATTTTCTCACTTATTCTTTTGAGGACTTTTTTAAGCCACTCCTTTGGACTGATGTGCAATAGGAATTGACGTATTCCTCTGAATCTCAATATTTCTACAAAAGAGACTGCTGCAGCTTTGGGTTGAGCCTATATCTTAAAGGTAGTGACATGAATTGCTTAATGATTTAAACTGTGTACCATCTAAAAAACAATAAAAGACTACACTGAGACAGTTATGCTTTGGAGGACATTGTGAATTAAATTGCATCTCAGAATATTTTAATAACCGTGTTTGTGTGTGTGTGTGTATATATACATATACACACACACACACATATATATATATATATATATAAATATATATTTATTTTTTTATTTTTTTACAGCCAATTATAGATATATATGGCTGATATTAAGAATATATAGTATCTTGTCCAAATTAAAAATAAAATGGATATTTACTAAATATTATATTTAACACTGTTAATTATGCATGTTTTTAAATATTAACTTAAAGTGTGCAAAGAAGTCTCTTATGCTCACCAAGAGTACATTTATTTGATCAAAAATGCAGTAAAAACAGTAATTTTGTGAAATATTTTTACAATTTAAAGTAACTTTTCTATTTGAATGTATTTTAAAATGCAATTTATTCCTGTGATGGTAAAGCTGAATTTTCAGCATCATTACCCCGGGCTTCAGTGTCATATGATCCTTTAGAAATCATTATAATATGCTGATTTGCTGCTCAGAAAATGTTTATTATTAGTAGTATCACTAGGGTCCAAAAATTTAGCTGTGGGTTAAATATTTGTGACAAATATGGGTGGCATTATTAAATGTTAAATCCTTTATTTGAAGAATATTCCTTGTGTATCACCCAGACTTCAATGTTAAGTGTATTTCTACTCATTTGGCACTTAGGGAGTATTCATTTTGGACCCTAATGCGAGCTCTCCCCCGAAGCTCTATGTCTCCTGGACCGTTGGTATACTTTGAGGTCAAAGGTCAGCACTCATTCAGTCTGACTTTGGCCTGCCACTGTTCAAAGGATCCAGACCCTTGATACTGCAAGGCATGACGTCTGCAACAAAACCAGCACGTAGTGTTTGTGTGTATATCCTGGATACAAGCTTGGCGGGCTGGAGTTTCTGACCATTCTCATTTCCCATGAAAATTCCAGTGGAACGAGGTTTTATTAATCCTAGCATTATGAGGATGTTATTAAAGAGGGAAAAGGATGTAAAAATGAACAGTTCACCCTGAAGCATAACTGAGTACTTCATTCAAAATAGGTTGGGAGGTTGGTGCATTTTTACACTGGCTAATTACTTAAAGCTAAATTACTAACTGAAGGGAGTTAAAACAGGAAGCAAGTTATGCTGAAAGTATGTTTTTGGACAGATTGCTTCTCGGAACCATTCAACATCACGCATCAAACCATGATAAATACTACTCCGCTCATGCTGTGCGTCCCTTTAACACCCCCTTTATCCTGTGACCTTCAGCTGGACGGAGGCCAAAGAATGTGCCCTTCACCCCGGCCTTTCAGGCCTCGTTAACTGAGCCCAGGCCCCAAAGGGTCGTCTCTGTGCCTAGTACAGCAACCCTGACAGGAAGCAGACAGGGCCGTGGGATGCGGACGGGAGAACAGGAACCCGATATTCTCAGAACATCTGCGCATGTGGTGTATCTCTTTGACATTTTCTCAGCATCTTTGGGTTTCTGCCTTTTCATATTCTATTCTGATCTGTGAAGCTTCTCCTGTGGTGAACGAACATCCGCCTGGTTCTCTTTCAGTAGATGTGTTTATTCGGCCAGATTGAAGTCGACATGAAATTACAATTAAACCTAATACATGTTCCTGGTCTCATTGCGATGGTTCTTCTGTGTACATTATTCCAGAGATGATAACTTTTTGAATACTTTTAGAATATTTAACGACTCATTCTTCTGAATCTGGACATGTGCAGATACTGCCACAGGATGTTTGTAGTAGCGTTTCAACATCTGCCACACTACATGCTTCTTGTAAACCACTATTAATAGCTAAATGCCGCACATCCTCCTTTTGTACCCTTGGGTCGGAGCACAACGCATCTTTTGTATTCTGCTTTAGTGACACAGGGTATTGACGACTATTTTTCCACTTTCCTTCCTGGCACTCAGGTCTGTTTTCCAGCCATTTTAAATTCAGTCAAGTTCCCTCAAACCACAAGACCTTATCTATAACTGCTAAAAGAAGATTGCTCTTTCAGTCTATTTGTAGCCTAGCATTCATTTATTCACTGATCTTACACTTGTGTACTGGAAGTACTAGAGGTAGTATTATTGCAATTTGTATTTTTGTTATAGTGACCAGAACTGCAAAGTTTTAGTCTGATTGCTCTTCTCCTATGAAAAACCCCAGGTTAATCAGGTGAAGTTGGTCACCATACATATGGAAACTATTTTTGTGGCCCCAAATTGGCAACAGCACATAGCCTAGTACAGAAACCAAGTAGTCGCAAACACATTTGTAGCCAAGATATATCTTTAAAATATATTGTCCTTGGCAGAGCTACTTCAAACCGAAGGTAAACAAACAATTGGTGAAGTAACATAAAATACAGTTTACTTCTGTTGCATTTGAGACCGTGTTATTGTTGTGTGGTCAAATGCCTGACGAGTTTTGCTTTATTTGGCATTGGTGTGTGGTGCAACATTTCTTGGAACTTGGCAAGATTTCCCAGTCTCCCCTGTTTATGAAAAAGTGACTAAATTATGGTCCTCGAGATCTCGCACCCACCCTGGTTTGGGCACAATTGGTTTCATTCTCAGTCAGTATGCTCAAGAGTGTCAAGGTCTAAAAATAAAGAACCAGCCCAAGCCCTGGAAGATTGCAGGACAGTATGTGAAAACTGACCACTTGTTTAGGAGGAGACTGAAATACGCAGTGGTAAACTTGGAAATTTTCTTGTAAACTCCGAGGGTGTTGAGGTCATGGCTTTGTATAAACAATAGGTGGCCTTTTCAGTCTCTCACACACCCTCTGTAGGTGGGATGTGTCGTGAGATCATCCACATCTAGTGGATCAGTTCAAGCATTGCAGCACATGCTGAGGGTTCAATTACGGCTTTAAAAGTAAAAAAAAAAACATTGCAAGCACCTTGGGGTTTTACTTCCTCTAAAGAGTTTTAAGGATATAATTGAGGACCACTGTCCCGTTTAGCTGCAATTCAAATTAAACATACCTGAACCAGCTAATCAAGGTCTTCAGAATTGCTAGAAACTTCCAAGCAAATGTATTGTTGCTGGTTGAAGTTAAAGGATTAGTTCAGTTCCAGAATAAAAATTTCCTGAAAATTTACTCACCCCCATGTCATCCAAGATGTTCATGTGTTTCTTACTTCAGTCGAAAATAAATTAAGGTTTTTGAGGAAAACAGTCCAGGACTTTTCCCATATAGTAGACCAACGGGTTGAAGGACCAAACTACAGTTTCAATGTAGCTTCAAAGGGCTCTATACGATCCCAGCCAAGGGATAAGTGTTTTAATGTAGCGAAACGATCAGTTGTTTTCTAAAAAAAAAAAAAAAAAAAATGTATATACTTTTTATCCACGAATGCTCGTCTTGCACTAGCTCGACCTCGCATTACGTAGCCACGTTGGAAAGGTCACGTGTGGCATAGGCGGAAGTACCGACACAGTGTTTACAAAGCGAACTTGCAAAAAAAGTAAAAACAACGATGTCAGATGATTTTGAAGTTGGAGGAGAAAATGAGATGTAATTTTTTGCCCTACCCTACCTTTTTGAACCGAAGTACACAGACCAAGAACTAACCATGCGTAACTTTTCTAACATGATTACGCAATGCGTAAAGATGTGCATCACAGAGCTAGTGCAAGACGAACATTTGTGGTTAAAAAGTGTATACATTTGTATTTTTTCAGAAAATGACCGATCGTTTCTCTAGATAAGACCATTATTCCTCGGCTGGTATCATGTAGAGCCCTTTGAAGCTGCATTGAAACTGCAATTTGGACCTTCAACTGTTGGCTCCCATTGAAGTCCACTATATGGAGAAAAATCCTGGAACGTTTTCCTTAAAAACCTTAATTTCTTTTCTACTAAAGAAAGAAAGACATGAACATCTTGGATGATATGGGGGTGACTCAATTATCAGGAAATTTGTATTCTGGAAGTGAACTAATCCTTTAAACTGCAGGACAGTGACCCTCCAGGAGCAGGTTTGGACACCTTTGGGTTAGTGCAGGGGTGTCCAAACTCAGTCCTGGAGGGCCACTGTCCTGCAGAGATTAGCTCCAACTTGCCTCAACCCACCTGCCTGGAAGTTTCTATTATGCCTTGTAAGACCTTAATTAGCTGGTTCAGGTGTGTTTAATTGGGGTTGGAGCTGAACTCTGCAGGACAGTATCCCTCCAGGACTGAGTTTGGACACCC